ATTACTTACATCGTCTGAATCAGTAACTGTAGAGAACCCCGGTTTCTTTTTTCTACCAAAGGACTGAGACCTGCCTTGTCCTATCAGAAACTGCACAATTTGGGAATTTAGGCAGGAACTTTCTCTCTAAAAGTTGGCCTCCTCATTGTCTTGGTGGAACAGAATTTAGGTTGCTCCCTGAATCTGTGTCTCCCAAACAGCAGCTCCTTGTGCTCAAATAAATGTGTTTTATTCTTTATTACAGTCTAAAATTAATTTTGGTTTACAGCTTGTTGTTACTTTAGGTAATTATTTAACATAAAGAGGGTCCCAATCTGTGGCAGTATAAGAACCTCTGCCCATGTCTTCCAAAGGCGGCCTGGTTCCCCTAAATCAGCAGTTTTCTGGTGTAGCCCCAAATGCATCCAACCACAGACAGCAACACCCTACATGACTTCTGGGATCGGACAGCCTGGAATATGATCAAAAGTGTTTCTGAGGATGTGGTTTAGGAGAATACCTTCGCTTTCTTTGAAGAGTGAAGGCAACAGCATCCAAGGTCAGAGAGGATTTTGGTTTGCAAAAATTATGTCTAGATTAGGATTTCTCAACCATGGCACAATTGACATTTTGGGCCAAATAGTTCTTTGTTGTGGGGGGCTGTCCTATTCACTGTAGGATATTCAATAGCATCTGGAGCCTCACCCACTGAATGCTATCCCCAAGCTGTCACAAGCAAAAATGTCTTCAGATGCTGCCAAATGCCCCTGGGAGGCAAAGTTGCCCTCAGTTGAGAGCCCTTCTGGAGGAAGTGAGGCTATTCAATTCCAACCCTAGATTTATTACTGCAGTAAATTGACAAGGAACTCTTTTAGCCACTCCCTGTATCTACCTTCAAACACTGTCTTCTAGTCCTCAGGGCTTTTTTTTTTTTTTTTTAAGTTCAGTTTTTAAGGCAGTTGTTTTAAACCCTGGCTACACATTAGAATATCCCGGGGAGCTTTTTACTTTATTTTTTAAAAAATTTTTATTTATTGATTTTAGGAAGACAGAGGAAAAGAGAGAAAGAAGAGAAACATCAATTTGTTGTTCTACTTATGAATACATTCATTGGTTGATTCTTGGCTGTGCCCTGACCGGGGATCAAATCAGAAACTTTGAGTACAGGGACGATGCTAACCAACTGAGCAACCAGGCCAGGGCCCCCAGGGAGCTTCTTAAAACGAGAAATCCCTGGGCCCCACCCGGAGATGCAGATTAGTTGGCCTGGGGCAAAGGCCAGGCTGCAGCAGTTTTTTAGTTACCTTGGCAATTTCAACATGCAGTAGGAGTGGAGAAGTACTGCTCCCAGATATTTCATCTGATTCTCCCCTCTCGCCCACCCTTTGAATCTGGCAGTGTTAGAGCCGCTGAGCCAGACGGCCAAAACAAGGCTGTGGGGGCTTATTAACATTTCCATTCTTGACAATGGAACATCCTCTGCACACTCTATTTCTTGGCCTGCAGATGAATTGCCAGAAAGAACGGAACTTAACCCCATAAATCAAGCAGCTTCCCATGGCCCTATTGATCTAAACAGTCCAATCCCATAGAACTTGATGTGAAAATAGAAATGTTCTCTACCTGCTCTGCCTAATATAGTAGCTGCTGGCCACATGGCTCTCAGAGCCCTTAACTGTGGCTAGTGTGACTGAAGAACAGAATTTTGAATTTTATTTAACTTAATTTTAATTTAAATAGCTACATGGTGGCTAGTGGCTAACATACTAGATAATACAAAAATTGTTTATGTACCTACAGGGTCACAGAAATAAAGAAAAGTCCTATAGCCTGCTAAGTGCCATAGAACTGTGAAATTTACAACATTTATGTCTTAAAGTATCTGAACTCAACAGCCTTTAAATTCTCAAATGGGATTCTAATGTGTTTTAATAAAAATCAATTTAGGAGAAAGTCTAAAATAAATTTTTTATCCACCTGCAGAATTAGTTTCCCAGCGTATTCCAAATACTTGGACAAGGAAGCTGATTTCTTCTCTAAGCTCCTCACTAGCCTGCTAGGAAAAAACACTCGTGCTTGCATTCCTTCCCTCTAAATTCACAGATAACCCTTGATTCAAACTTCTTGCCTCCTAATTTAGGCCTGAAACAACAACACAAACTGCAAACAAAGGTCACCTCTAAGAACAAGAACTTTTTCTCATATCATTAAGTTTCATAAATACTTACAATTTCACAAACTGCATTCATGCATTCACTGTAGGTGTGCAGATCCTCACAGAACACAAAGCTCATCTATTTTTAAAGCTTAAAAAATAGAAAAGTAATTCTAGTTCTTATTGCCTAGACAATGGATGGTTTACAGTTGAAGAAAGCCTCATATGCCTTTCTGAGCACAAAAACATGCTTACCTCTTCTTGGCCCAAACTCCCTGGGGTCACCTCTAATCCAAGTCAGGATGAGCATTTTAGTAGTAATTTACCAATTTTCCAGGTATTCAAAATGGGGGGTGACTCTTCATAATAGCTGGTGCTTGTTAAGTGCTTACCACATGCAGGGCACTGTGCCTTATTTTATCTGAATCTTCCCATTTTTTTTTTTTTTAACCCTCATCCAAGGATAATTTTCATTGTTTTTAGAAAGGAAGGGAGCGAGAAACATCAATGCAAGAGAAAAGCCCCTATTGGTTTCCTCCCATACATGCCCAAACCAGGAATCAAACCTGCAACCTGGGTATGTGACCTGACCAGGAATCGAACCCGCCACCTTTCAGTTATGGGATGACGCTCCAACCAACTGAGCCACCCAGCCAGGGCACCACTGCCTTCTGAAGCAGGTACTACTGTCAGAAGTTGAGGTTAGGTAACTGGTACATGGCCACACTGCCAGCAAGTGGCGGAGGTAAGATTTGGACCCAACTCTCTGATTTTTTGGTGGGAATCCTTGGGGTTATGATCAAAGACAAACATGTAATTACAACGTTAGATACCACGCTGAGCCATTCTCCCTGTGATGTGACTGCCGCTTAGTGAGGGGCGTTTGGTGTTGCAGGTTTCAGAAATCCTGAGCCTATCTTTACTTCAGAAACTACCCCACTCCTCATGGACCACTCTGTGTCCTGAGGCTTCACCCAGCAGGTGAAAAGAGAGGTCTTGGGGAGCACTTCTGATTGTGCCAGCACAACTGCACCTAGGAGGACAAGGCAGACAAATGCAGTAGAATTTTCCAAATGTCATCACGGGGGTGGAAGGTAGTGGGAGACCCCAGCTATGGGATCCCAAGAGGGAAGGAAGAGATTTCAGTTGGGGGCAGGTGAGAAATCAGGGGAGTATTCTTGGAGGGGACAGATGAGCGAGGTCATAAGGGGTAGGTAAGATTTAGACATCAGAGATTCCACAGAGGGCATTCCCAGAGTTGGGAATAAACTAAGCAAAGGCAGCAGGAGAAAGAATGTGTATTCACTTGCCTGGGTTATAGCAAAAGAAGCAGGAGCGTGGGGGGCAGGGACTCCAGGGTCCTAGATAATGAGTTGGGGCAGCGCAGGGAATCCAGAAAGTAGCCATTAACTATCCAAAGACCTATTTTACATCCCACTCCTGGTACTTTCTAGCTGCGTGGCCTCAAACAAGTCCCGTGTCCTCTTTGGGCATCAGTCTCCTTGGGTAGGGCACCAAGGACTCCTTGCTGATCTGAGAACCTAATTTAGAAAAAGTGGTGCTAGGAACACCGGTTATTAACTTCTTATTTCTAATTTTTCATATTATAAAAATAATGTTCATAAGAATTTATTAGTTACAATTGTATCCAAATAAGTCTAGTGATTCACAGCGGGGGTACTGAGTCCTGGGAAAGGGCCATCTCTGGAAGTCTCACACTCCTTCTTTGAGAAATGGGCATAGCATTGATACCTACATCATGGGGCTGTTGGGAGTGTAAGGCAAGTTATCGATGAAGGGTGCTTAGAACAGGGCCTGGAGCCATACTCACTTATTCTGTCAGCCATTTTATTAATAATCAATTATTTTTAAACTCCCAGCCAGGTGGAGTCAGCCATGAGGGATTTCTGAGCAGATGAGAGGTGAGGCAAATGCTGGCCTCAGGTCCCAGATGGGACCTCTTCATAACCATCCAGCCCCTGGGGCACACACAAAAAGCTCTCACCACACAAATCTGTGGATGCACAGCCCCTAGACCTCCTGGCACCTTCTTCTTCCCTTTCTACCTAAGTCTGTCAACCGGGCCTCCCCCGCTCTTCCGCGGTGTCAGGAGTGCAAATGTTGCAAATGCTCCGCTTGCAGCGGCGCTACACAATCCGCATTTCCAAGACTGGCAGGAAGCCCGCGTAGGCAAGGGATGCCGTGGTTGCAGGGTGGGCATCCAGCTGCCAGGGTGGTAGGACCGGCATTCTCACTCGCGGATTGCGGGGAGGAGGGGGCGCAAGGACGAGGGAACCGGGGAGGGGTTGAGCAAAGAGGAGCTGAAAGGCCGCTGGGGGTAGGTATTGGCTGGAAGAGGTCTCGCGGATTGCCGATATCTGGGGCTGGACGGAAGGTGAGTTCAGCTGGGAAGGCGAGCTGCAGCCGTTCCCCAGGAAGTGGGAGGAACGGGGGTGCAGGAGCCTCCAAGCCAGCCAGGAACTGGGAGGGGTGCACAGTGGCTGGTGCCGGCTCGACGGGTGGGGAGGCAGAGTAGAAAGAGGGTGCGGGTCCGCAACCCGTCCTCACCTTGTCCCAGGGCTTTGGGGAGGCAGGCAGCCTGCACCCGGGAAGTGGGGGCACCCGGGTTCGGGAATGTCAGACCTATCCCGGTACCGGAGAGGAGCGCGCAGGGCTGATGCCAGAGTAGGGGAACCGAGTAGAAAGGGAGGTGCAGGTCCCGGATCCGTCTTCACCCCGCGCGCCGCCGGAGCAGAGGCCAGGCAGCCCGGACTCGGGAAGTGCAGCGTAGGTCACTGCATCCTTGGGGGAGCTCTCGGACCGTGTCCCAAGTGCGCACTCCCCATCCCGCCCCGCCCGCGCTCACCTAACGGGACCTCTGCAGCCTGGTTCCTGCCGCACGATCCCACGCCGGCCCTCCGCACAGTCCGCGGCTCGGTCTGTCCGCAACCCTGGCTCCCGAGCGGCTCTTAGCTCCGGGCGCCGGGCTCTCCTGAACGCCTTAAAGACGCGACGCGCCGGCCTGCGTCCTCCGACAGAGACGCCGGCTCCGCCCGTGCTCTCCCCCAGCGCCGCTCTCCGTCTGCCGCGCTTTCTCTTGCAGGTTCCGGGGCGAGAACTTCCAGCTCCTCCGCGCCCCAGCCTCAGAGCGTTAAACTCGAAGGGTGAAGTATCCCGCACGACCCAATCCCTGCAACCTGTCTCCAGAGCCAAGGCCCGAACAGGACCCCTCACTATGCTCCCTGCGCCGCGCCAGTTGCAGAGGGCAGAACCCGGTCACCCGACCCTGACCCTAAAGGGAGTCACAGTTCCACAATGCGACGCCAGAATTCATGGGGGCATTGTTCCATTTACTGAGTACCCACTGTGTGCTTAGTGCTGCTAAACACTTTGTGCCGCAGTGACCGGTCATTTCTTCCTTTTAAGGACAATTAAACCCCACTAGGCAAAAATAAGAAGTAGGGAGGGGAGCATAAAACATATCACCCATTAAATTCAGTGGTGTTTTCTGACTATATCTGCCTCAAAGCCGGGTTTGCTAGCACCTGGCCTCAGTTTACCACTTCAGCCTCATCTCCTAGTATTCCAAGGGCACCCAGGATGAACTAGATCATCTAGGCTTTTGCCTGGGCTGTTCATTCCGCCAAGATCTCCCTTCCTTTCCTGCTTGGCCTGGCTACTCCTTCCTCTTTTCTATGCTTAATTTAAATGTCGCTTCTTCCAGAAAGCCGTCCTTAAATCCCGTGGGGGCCCATAGGGTAGTGGGGACTTCTTCCATCAAAGTGTTTATGCACTCATTTAACAAATATTTATGGAGCATTTATTATGTTCTGAGCACTGTGTGAGGGGGGTCTTCCTGCTGTGCTGAGAGCTGAATCGGGCTGCTACCTACCTCTCTCTCCAGGCCTAGATGAGACAAGATTGAGAGCCCAGCAGGACTCTCGGCTATCACTGAAGGCAGATTCCCAGCCTGTACTCACCAGTCCTCTAGGCAGGCAGAGCCTGGTCTGGTTGGACAGGTCCTAAGTTTTAAGAATTGAATTGGATAAGCCCCAGTGATATGGCAAAGGGGCATCTCTGAGACCACTGAGGACTACCCTCTAAAATATGCCTTTGTCAGGGCTGCCAGAATCCAGCCAGAGTTTGGGATAACTCTCTGGCTTGGGCTGCAGCACATTCTAGGATGTTGCCCACCTCATCAGTCAGACTTAAGAGCTGCATTTGACTCACTTCAGGGAATTGTTCTCAGAGTTTCCATGAATTTAAATTTACCCATTAAAAGGCATGTAGCTCAGCCCTGGCTCGTGTGGCACAGTTGGTTGGAGTATCATCCTGTAACTGGTTTGATTCCCAGTCGGGGCACATACCTAGGTTGTAGGTTTTGTTCCCAGCCCTAGCATGTGTAGGAGGCAACTGATAATATGCTTCTCTCTTGCATCGATGTTTCTCTCTCTCTCTCTCTCCCTCCCTCCCTCCCTCTTTCCCTTCCTCTCTCTCTCTAAAAACAATGGGAAAAAATGTCCTCAGGTGAGGATAAAAAGAAAATTTGAAAGGCAAGTTGTTCAGTTCTACCTCTCAGGCCTTATCTCCCCTCACTGACAAACTTGAATCTGTCCAAACCAGCTGCCTTCCAACGCCCCCAGAACTGGCCCAGAAAGGCAACAAGGGATAGGACTGACCAGTGTTTTAATCCCCACAAGCCGCTTATGACCAATCTTAGGTACTCACCGAACTGGTACTGAGTGAGTGAATAAACAAGTAAATGAAATGCATGAAATGACTTCCCAGGTCTACCCAGAAGCCATCAATAAACTTTACCTGGTGTATTAGAAACTTGAAGACAATTTTTATTTTATTTTTATTTATTTTTTGTTGAGTTCATACAGATTTCAAGTGTACAACTCAACAAAACATCATCTGCACACTGAATGGTGCACCCATCACTCCAAGAAAAGTCTCTTTCCATCCCCATTCCCCGCCTTCTTGCCCACCTCTACCTACCACCCACCCTCCTTTTTCTCTGGCTACCACCACACTGTTGTCTGTGTCTAGGTATGACATATATGTTCTTTTGCTTAATCCCCTCACCTTCTTTCATCCAGCCCCCCAACCCCCTCCTGAAACTTAAAAACAATTTTTAAATAAAAAAATTTTTCTTCTCCAAAACCTTAAAAATGTGCAATTCTTCATCTTTTTTAAAAAACTAAAGCCTGTGGCCTCAGGGTCCTCCTAGGGACTGGAGTTCCAAAATCTAGAGAGTTTTTGCCCTAGTGTTATACTCAGGTTCACTGAGTTGAGCCCAGGTGGTAGTCACATTCTCCATGACTCTTCTCCATCTGGTGCCTGACAGGAGAGAAGCCTTAATTAGCCCCCATTTCACAGTGAAGCCAAGGAGGCAGGAGGGGGTGAGGGGACTTCCTCCCTGAGTTAGCAATGCCCTGAGCTATGTCGCTAAAGAATCAGGGGTGGGTGGGAGGCCAGGGAGCAGTCCCAGGGGCCACCCACATTCCCAATGGAACCTTCAGTCATCCCGAATAGACCCCTTATTATCAGACAGGTCTCACCCCAGCACTAGAAAGGAGTTCTGGTACCTCTCCTGTGCCAGTATGTGCAGCAGATCACCCCAGTCTTCGCCCTGCCATGTCTGTGAATATCTCCAGGACAGCGGCATACCAATCAGAGCTCAGTAGCGCCAATGGTCGCGACTGTTTAAGGCACACTTATTACCTGGTGGACACTATGCATCATCTCACTACAGGGCGGGACCAGCAGTCAAAGGAGTTTTTTCATTCATTCAACATTTCTGAGAACTCACCACATGCAGGTACTCTTTGGGTGAACAAGGACACACTATTGCCTTTAAAATCTTAGTCTATTAATAATAGAATAGAAACTATTCCATCAGGGATCACACGCAAGTAATGATGGAATCATGAGTAACAACTACAAAGGCATGTCAGCACCTGGAAATGTGCGTAGGATAAAAATGAATAATATAAGTTACCATGTGTATGCAGACGTCAAATGGCAGCATCCCTTCGGCCTATGAGCCATTCGCATGATTCATTCTCCAAGCATTTACTGTGTGGCAACTGTGAGCCAGCCGCTGAGCCCCCTGGTCAATTTGCATTGTGCATCACCTTGCTACAGCCTTCCCTGATTACCTATGAAAAATTAGTTGTTACTTCATCCATACCCCATAGCACATTGTATGTGATGATTTATTTATTCCATTTGGTGACTCTCGGCCCCATTTAGTTGTGAACTCCTTTTTCACCTCCATATACCCAGGGACCAGCAGGATGAGTGGCACAGAGCAAGCAAATATTAACTAGCTATTGTGTTGATATTTCCCTGCGTGCCTCACTTTGTGTTCAATGCATTATCTCATTGAATCATTCCAATGGCTCTGTGAGGTGGGTATTATATTATTAGCTCCATATTATAAATGAGGATATTGGAACCTAGAGAGGTTAACTAACTTACCCAAGGTCACATGACTAGTAAGTGATACTGTCAGAATCCAAACCAAATTGTAGAGTCTCAATACAAAATTTATGTTCTAACCACTAAAATACCTGCTGCTATAACCAGTAATGGAATTAAATATGAAAGATATGGCAAAGTATGACCTTAAAAGAGCCTGTATCTGGAAATCTATGAGATATTAACATTTTTAGGCAGAAAAAGCATCTATTTTCTAAACAACTTAAAATGTTGCTTATTCATTTCTTTCTTTCTTTCTTTCTTTCTCTGGACAGGAAGTAGGGTTTATTGGTAAGTGTAAGGAGAGGGCAGCACTGAGACTCTCATAAGTACTTGGCCCACTCTTTGCCCCAGGGACCACAATTAGGGATGTATTTGACTCCATGGCCATCTAAGATGAGCTGCTTTTCAGCCACCATGTCTTCAAACTTGTCCACATGAAATTGAGTAAAGCCCCACTTCTTGGACATGTGGAGCTTCTGGTGCCCAGGGAACTTGAACTTGGCTCTGTATAGGGCCTCGGTCACATGCTGCTTGGTGCAGATGGACATGACGGCTTGGCCAATGTGGACCTGGCCACTGTGTCCAAAGACTCTCCAAAGACATGCCAAATAGGTACCTGTCTGTAGCATGTCAGCCCCAGCACAGGACAACATCTTGTTGATGCAGATGATGTGGAAAGGGTGAGGCGCACTCAGGGATGAAAGCCCTCTTTGCCACAGCTTTTCACCATGTACTTGTTGGCACAAATACAGGTAGCCTCCAGGGCTTTGGAGGAGAGCTGCTCATATTCATCTGACTCCATGTGGGCACAGAGTGGAAACTCACCCACTTTTGCCTTCTGTCTGAGGTCAAAGATGCAGATCTTAGCATCAGGGACGCCTTGGCAGAAGTGAGACTCTGGGTTCGGCTTTTTCTTACAGTACCCATAACACTGGGTGGGGTAGCATGTCCAAGGTGACACCAGGGTCTTCAGTGGCACGCCAAAGGGAAAGAGGGTTATTTATTTCTGAATTAAATGTTCATCAAGCATCTGCTTACATACAGAACCCAAGCTATGGAAGATACATAAGATACATCCTTCCTTCAAGGAGTATAGTCTAAATTACAGGATGAGCTATGTACCTCTAAAAAAAAGAACATCAGTGCAAGAGTTACTTAATAAAAGTATATCATACAAAAAGCCAGCATGTGCCAAAATGCAGCATGTGATCATGGGAACAAGGATTCGATAATAAGGAGGTTCTAAAACTCACTATAGCAACTAATTTATTGAAAATGCTGACTGAGCACAGCTCTAGGCCACAGAGGATGGGAAGGAAAGGGAAGACATTGGGAGAGAAGTCTTACTGCATAAGTAGCACTCTGGGCCAGATTTTCCAAGTACCTGTATATAAGCTGGAAGGTGACAGAAAATTTCCAAAAGATTAACCTAGACCTTTACCAAGAGGCAAGGGTAACTATTACTCAGAATGGTTGCGAATGAAATGCTAAAGGCAGGAAAAGTTAATTTATTACATTCAAATTTGGATCAAGAAGATGAATTTTAAAAATGAGCATATGTAATGGCAATAGATGGCAGAGGGAAATAAAAACTATGAGTTTCCTATTTTACTCCATCTTCATCATAACGAAAGAACTTCCATTTGGTCAGGTAAGAATATCACAAAGAGAGAAACCAAGTCCAGGGTAAGAAGTAAAGAATGGAAAAGAATACCCAACAGTTTGAATTAGTTTAGTTTCTCAGCTCAAGAGGGTACCAAAAAGATATGTAGAAATGACCTCAGAAACACATTCAGTAATCTTCAAGAAATCTTTTCAGAAGTCTCTAATTAGAGTCAGGATCCCACTTTAAACAGGGAGAAAGATTGATACTCAAATCTAGAGACCAAGTGGTATGGTGTTGACTTCTTGTAAAGTTCTACATATGATTATTATACCAGGACAAAAGTTATACCAACAGCTTTTATGGGTTCACTGTGCATAATCTCACCAAGGGAATGATTTTTCAGTTACTAGCATAAGTAGTTTTGGAGACTGTTGTACTAATTGCATACAGAACACCTTGACTGCAGTAGGTTTTGGACAAAACATTTTATTTTCTGTTTATGGGCAAGATGAAGCCATCTAGACTGTATAGCAACACAGCCCAGTGGATTCAGAGAAGGTTAAACAGTGGTTTGACTTTCTTTAACTGACAATATTAGCCTGGAAGCAATTTTCTTTTTTATTGAATTTATTGGGGTGACATTGGTAAATAAAACCATATTCAAACCACAGGTTTCAAGTGTACAACTCAAGAAAACATCATCTGCTTACTGCATTGTGCACTCATCACCCAAAGTCAAGTCTCTTCCTGTCCCCATTTGTTCCCTCTTTGCATACTTCCACCTCCTCCCACCCTCCTTCCCTCTGGCTATCATCATACTGTTGTCTGTATGTATGTGTGTGTGTGTATATATATATATATATATATATATATATATATATATATATATATATGTCTTAATCCTTTTACCTTTTTCCCCCCGTCCCCTACCCCCTCCATCACCTCCTCCCCTCTGACAGATGTCAGTCTGTTCTATGTGTCTATGTGGAAGCAGTTTTCTAATGGGATACTCTGGTTCTCTGTCCTTGACATTAAAAAAAAAGAATTTAGATAAACAAAAATCTAAACTTGCCATCAAATTTTAAATCAAAGAAAGCTGGGAAGAAAATTACAGATCAAAATTGTTTCAATAATTTGGAATAGGCTACAAACATGGTGAAACTTAACAGTCCTTTTTGCCTTTTAAAATTCAAATTGCATTTCAACATATGGTACACCAGATATTCTGAAGCATCCTTGTTCTCAAAACACCTCTATCCTTGATACAATAAACTTTGTCATTATGTTGCTGGACTGAATGTATATCAGAATAAGAGTAGAGAACACTAAGAAGCAAATAAATGTGAAATGCAGGGGTGTCCCAAGACCAAATGTGTATATTAAACCCATAAACAATATTAGGGGAGCTTAGCCAGCTCTAAGTTGGAGTAGCTGAACATAGAGTCCCATAGATATTAAGACCTTCTAATGAGCTTGAGTGGTTTCGTGGGTAGCAGTCCTTCAGGCTATTCCAAGCATAAACAAAACAAGGATGTTTTCTCTAGGAAATTGCCCAGGATCTTCAGAGATATGATTAACCAAACAGAGATTTGGAAAACATGTCTAAAGAGATTACAGAGGGATATGACATGAAAAATATTTTTAAAAGGTTATGGAATATGTAGGATAGCCTAAAATTATAATCCATTTAATCAGTATCAGAAAAAGAAGGGCCATATTTGAGGTAGTAGTGACTAAGAATTTCTAGGGCAGAAAAAAAAGACATGAATCCACAGATATAGGAGGCATAACATATCTAAAGCAGGGTAAATAATACCAAGAAACATTGTAGTGAGGCTGCAGAACACTAAAAACAAAGATTTTTTTGTAATCATGTTTATTCTATTACAGTTGTCTCAATTTTTCCCCCTTTGCCCTCCTCCACCGATCCACCCCCCACCCCTGCTCCCACAGTCAATTCCCACACTGTTGTCCATGGGTCATTGGGTCATTGGGTCATGTCCATAGGTCATTCATACATGCTCTTTGTCTAGTCCTTTACCCTTCTTTCCACCATTGTCCTCCTTCCCCATCTCCTCTGGTCACTTTCAGTCTGCTCCATGTTTCCATGCCTGTGGGTTTATTTTATTCATTAGAGTTTATTTTGTTGAATAAATTCCACTTATAGGTGATATCATATGGTATTTGTGTTTTACCAACTGGCTCATTTCACTTAGCATAATAAAAGCAAAGATCTTAAAGGAGCTAGAGATTTTTTAAAAAGACTTACTCACAAAAGAAGGAATTAGATTGTGAGCAGATTACTCAATGGCAACATTGGAAGCTAAAAGATAGTAGAATAATATCCCTCAAAGACTGAGAACTGGATAGTCAGCATTTCAGTAAAATACTGATCAAAAACAAAATTAATTTATGACTGGAATAATTGACTAAATGAACTTCTGAGATGCCCTTCAGAAAGAAGAAAAATGATCCAATTTAGAATTGAAATGAAAGGAGGAATAATGAGTGAAGAAATTGGTAAATATAGTGGATCTAAAAATTCTCAATAGAAAACAGTAATAATATAAAATTATAGACTCAAGCAAGTACGAACTAAAATACTGGGCAAATATAAATTAAGAAAGAGGTAATTGGAGTTAAAGTGTTCTAATACCTTTGCATTTGTGACAAAGTAATTAAGATATTAACTTTAGCCTTTGTTAAATATGTGTGGTAAAATGTCAATGGTATTCACTAATATAACACAAGTAAGATATCTACTGTAACTTTCAAACCAGTGACAGGGGGAATGACATAAGCCAATAAAAAAAACAAACACTTATCAACCCAAGAGAAGTATTTAAAAAGTGAGACTCCTCCCCCACAAGAAAGATAATAAAAATAAGTCTAGATATACTAATTCAGTAAATATAAATTAACTAAATTCATCAGTTAAAAGTCATAAATTGTCAAGTTGTATGTTTAAAAATATAAGAGACACTATTTCAAGGCTCACTCCTAAAACATGAAAATTTGGGAAAGTTGAAAATAGAAGTGTGGAAAATGACATACCTGACAAATACTAGCCAAAAAAAAAAAAAAAAGCTGGCATAGCTATGCTAAATTAGATAACATAGGTGGACAAAAAATGTTTTAAGGATGGAAAGGATCACCGCATAATGATAAAATGTTTAATTTTTCAATAAAATGTCAGTTCTAAACCAAAGAACATATGAGTCTTTTTTTAAAAATTGATGTTAGAGAGGGAGAGAGGAAGGGGGAGAGAAATATGAACTTGTTTCACTTACTGATACATTCATTGGTTGATTCTTGTATGAGTCCTGACCAGAGATGGAACCCGCACCCTTGGAATATTGGGATGACGTTATAACCAACTGAGCTATGTGGCCAGGGCCAAAAACCTGAGTCTTATAACTATTAAAGAAATTAATGTTAAAGGAAAACATTAAGCCCAGATGGTCCTAGAAACATCTCTAAGCTTTCAAGGAACAGGTCATTCTACTCTCTTATAAGCTCTTCTAGAAAATAGGAAAAGAGAGAACACATCCCAAATCACTCTGAGATGCCAGTCTAAATTCAATATCAAAACAAGAGCAGACCAATATTACTTATAAATCACTCAAGAACACAGAAGTAAAAAATAATAAATGAAATACTAGTACATTGAAGTCAGCAATATATAAAAAGATGATACATTATAATCACGTTAGGTTTATGCCAGGAATGCCAGAATAATTTAACATTAAGAAATACAGTGTCTGGCACAAATAACGCCCCATTTTATTATAAAATCTTTTATTACAGAATCAGAAGCATGTAATTCTGTAATATAACAATATCACACTCAAGTACATGTATGACATTTTAGGTGAATGTTGCAATTAAAACTATAAATTATTACACCATATTATTACGCTACCAACCACACTCAAGCAGGCGTTACTTGTGTTGGACACTGTATATTCCTGTAGTTAACCACATCAACATATTAAAGGAGAACTGTAAGATCATGTCAATAGTTACAAAATTTTAAAATAACATTTGACAGTCACTCATGATAATAACTCATAGGAAACTAAGAAGAGAACTTCCTTAACCAATTAAAAGGCATCTACAAAAAACCTACGTAAATTTCACTGTAAATAGAGAAGTTTATAAATGTTTCCTTAAAAATCAGAAACAATTTCAATCAAAATCTCAACATGGCTTTTCAGGAAGATGAGCTGATTCTAAGCTCCATATTGAAAAGCAAATCCCAATGAAAACCAAATACTCTCAATGAAGAAGAAAAAGTAGAGCTCAAGACTTATTGTAAAAGTATA